AGACATCATTTATAAGATAAATCATAATTAAATCTTGCTTTGGATGCATGCACATTGCCTTTTTATCACATTTCTGGTAGACAATGTTGAATGAACAAAATCCACTATTCATAATTGATATTTTGAGTGCAGAATGGAAGGGTTTGCCTTCCAGGGTGAGCTGTTGGCAGTGTTGTCTGGTGCTTCCCACCGACTTCTACTCATTTTAATGGTTTACACTGCATCATCTGAGTCAAGGTTCTGGGATAAAATCCACGTACATATAAAGGAAAACCCATTCTCTATAATGACACTCACCACATAGTAATTTTAAACAACTTTCTCTTGTCTGTAAGTTGGCTGTAATAGGTTTGCTGGCAATGAGAATACAAGATGTGAGCACATATAAAAAGAATACTAGTTTTATGTAGTTGTAAGGCATACCATTTCGACATACTGATTTAATGCTTGTAGCATGCTAACCAAGGCTCTGGAATAGCACTGAACTGATAATTTTAATCATTTCTATATATTGGATTAACAATTTTCTGATTCAGATAGATAACATTGTCAGTCCTCAAGTTCAATAGTCTGAGACGCTCAAATAATTTTCATGTTTTGGCTTTTAGGCTTGTAGCAGTCTAGCTCTGGGCTTGTAGCAATAGCAAATTAGACTAGAAAATTATGATTTTGTAAATGTAAACAGGTCAACTAAAAGTGGAGGAGGAGTTGGCATTTATGTCGCAAATGAATTGAAATACAAAATACGCTTCGATTTAAACACAAGTACTGAAAATGTAATTGAATCCGTTTTCATTGAAATTATATAACAGCTGTAGGTAAAAATATAATAATAGGTGTAATATATAGACCACCAAATAACAAATTTGACTCATTTGAAACTAAAATGAATCAAATACTAGGAAAGATAGACAAAGAAAACAAATTATGCTATCTTATGGGAGATTTCAATATTGATCTACTAAAATCAGGATCTTGTGATTACAGTATCAGATTTCTAGAACAACTATTCACATCATCATATATCCCACTTGTACTAAGACCAACAAGAATCACTCAGCATACGGCTACACTAATTGACAATATTTTCACCAATGACACGGAAATGATAGAATCAAGGAAAAATGGGATAATTTTTTGCGATATCTCAGATCATTTACCAATAGTTCATGTACGAAATTTAAAAAATTATCATAAAAAAACTTCAAAAACTGATTTTTTTTGTAAAAGAATTATCAATGATGCCAATGTTGAATCATTTACTAATACAATTAACATGAATTATTTACTAAAACAACATGACAGAGTCCTACAACAAATTTTTCAACTTATTTTCAATAGCTTATGAAAAAAACTTTCCATTGACAAAGAAAGTTGCGAAAAGAAAGATTGACAAAACTCGAAGCCCATGGATGACAAGATAGATGTATTGCAAAATCAGTTAAGCAAAAGAACATTAAATTATATAAAAAATACCTCCAATACCCTACAGGAAAAAACGAAAAAATATACAAAAAATATAAAAATAAATTAAATCATGTGATAAAAGTGGCAAAAAAAGAAATATTATGAAGAACAGTTAATAAATTATAAACATGATACAAAGGTATTATGGAAAACATTAAATGAAATTATGAACCGAAATAAGACAAATAGAATGTTACCAAAAGAATTTAATGGAAAAAGCCCTGGAGAAAAGATTACTGATCCAAACACAATAGCAAATAGATTCAATGACTATTTTGTAAATATTGGCCCAGGACTAGCAAAAAAAATCCCGAATTCCAAAACAGCCTTTGATAAATATCTCACTAATAGCTGTAAAAATAGCTTCTTTATTAATCCAATAACTAAATATGAATTAGAAAATGAGATAAACAATTTGAATGCCAAAAAAAGCCCTGGCTATGATGGTATAAGCTCACAGGTAATGAAAGCGATTGCTACAGACATTTCTGAACCACTTTCACACATATTTAACTTGACTTTTCTTTCTGGAACTATTCCTGATGATCTAACAATAGCTCTAGTTACCCCCTATATTCAAAGCAAACGAAAACAATGAATTTAAGAATTATAGGCCCATATCTGTTCTCACTAGTTTTTCTAAATTGTTAGAAAAGCTTATGTATAAGAGATTAATTAACCACATAGAAAAAAATAACATATTAACACAGCATCCAGTATGGTTTTAGGGAAAATAGATCCACTGAGTTTGCAATCATAGAACTTGTTGACAGAGTTTATAAAGCAATCGATAGAGGAGAATACACGATAGGTATTTTCCTCGACTTGTCAAAAGCCTTTGATCACAATTGATCACAAGATATTGATTCAAAAACTTGATCACTATGGTATACGGGGAATAACTCAATTATGGTTTCAGGATTACTTAAAGAATAGAAAACAAATTGTTAAATACAACCAAATTAAATCAAAAGAAATGCTAATTAAGAGTGGTGTCCCACAGGGGTCAATTCTTGGACCAATTCTATTTCTGCTTTATATAAATGATATCGAAAATTGCAGAAAATTAATTTCATTTATATTATTTGCAGATGACACTAATATATTTTATAGTAACAAGTGTCTAAAGACACTTAGTAATATTATACAAACAGAAATTGATGAAGTTGCTGAATGGTTAAATGTGAATAAATTATCTCTAAATACTACAAAAACAAAAATAATTTTATTCAGATCTCCAAATAAAAAACCAAGTCAAACCATTAAAATTAACATAAATGGTAAAAATATTGAACAAGTTGAAAGTACAACCTTCCTCGGTATTATCATTGACGAATGTTTGACCTGGAAAGATCATATAGCTAAGGTAGCAAAGAAAATAATTAGAGCTGCTGGTATAATAGCTAAAATACGACATTTCATAAATCGAAATACTCTAAAACTTATATATTATGCATTAGTATATCCATATTTGATATACGGCAACTTAACATGGGGTAATACTTATAAAAGTCGAATCCAAAAAAATAATGAACATACAAAAAAAAATTGTATGTCTAATGACTTTCAAGTCTTATTTAGAACACAGTGAGCCAATTTTCAAAGATTTAAATATCCTAGACATTTTCAAAATCAATGACTATTTAACTGCCCTATTTATGTTTCGATACCACCACCTTAACAATTTACCAGATTTCTTTAAAAATTATTTTGTAACAAACAACCAAATTCATGAACATAACACGAGAAATGCATCAAAACTTCACAAATGTTATAAAAGAACAAATTATGTAAAACACACTCTCTCAAATAAAGGAGTTGATGTATGGAATTCGTTAGAAACAAAACTTAATGAAGTAAACTCCTAAAACACCTTTAATTTAAAAAGAAAATTAAACAACATTTTTTGCTATACACAATTACCAATATATAAAACATACTTCTATAATGTATATAATGACATATACTTTAGTCTATTGTAGCCCAGCATTGACATTGTAAAATTAAATGCATCTACAACATTACTATTAATTTATATAATACGAACATTCCCACTTCTTTTTCTCTCTTGTAAATATAGTGTATATACTTCAAAACTTTCTGATTTTACATGTTATGTATTGATTGACTGTAAATAATCGATTATGTGATAAAACGAACAGTAACTAGAGACCTAAAATAAAAAGTCTATGAAGATTTCTAGTAGGTCTCTAGCCCAACATCTTCAAATTATTGTAATATATTTTAAGTAGATTTTTATACATGGGAAAATAAAATTTTTAAAAAAAAAATCTGTCTTTCTCAATTCTCACACAATTATTGCGGAATGCCAACCCCAATCCCTGCTGACGACGCTGACGAAACGCCGCGTACAGGGAGACTGAAATTTACACACATGACTTTCTCATTTCGCTTTATATATTTTACATGCCTCTATACAAGCTTTTTAGTACAGCACGATCATACTCTTTGGGTCTGATCAGTTTTTTTACACAACAGGATATATTTTACTCTTATATACAATTTCACACATACATCTCCAATTTTATGTTCCACAAGTCTATAACCTACACTTATTTCTTAGGCTCAAATTTATACAAATACAAGTGCTATATTATCCTCATATTACAACATTTCGCAACGAAACTTCGGAATATTACTAATTTTGTGATGCTCTTTCAAGCTGTGATGGAATTTTTGTCTAGATCAAAATTTTAGTTATAAGGTTAAAGGTCCATTAAGCGACAAAAATAAAATAGTAGACATATTGTCACTGGTTTATACATATACTGACAGTTAAAATTGATAAATGTTTGAACTGAAACTAAGTAAAGTGAAGGCAAATTAAGGCAAAGCCGCGAAGGCAAAGTGATAGGCTATATACTATAGCAGTATAGGCAAACCGCCCAAAGCAAAGCTAAAGCTAAGACAGCCAAGGCAAATTAAGCAGCTATAGCCTACAGACTGGAATACTATAGACTAATGTGACAATGGTAATATTTGTACAGCCAGGTAATCACATAGCCAACCGCCCAAAACAAAGCAAAGCTAAAGAATTTACTAGACTAATACAATAGTAATATTTCTACAGCCAGGTACATAATCGCATGGGGCCGAGGAAAGTTAAGGTTTAATTTCACGCGTGTTTTAATTCAAAGTTGCACAAAATTGCAAAACTTTGAATTTTGAAAACACAAGTGAAATTATATCTTAATTTTATTTTTTATGAGGGCCCATGTGATCAATATGTTAATAATATAGAGTAGAGTACTATAATATTAGCATGCATATACCGCACACAAATTATACTATATAGAGACTATAGACTCTATAGTCCTAGTCCTAGCAATCTCATGTCATGAACAACAGTTTCCGATGTTGATGACAATTTCCGTCACATCTTGACATCCTTCGTTCAGCTTTACAGTGTGGCTAGCCCGCGAACGGGCTAGCCACAAAAATGCCCTCCTGATTAGCCAATCATATATTGGAATAATTTTGCCCTCTATACTATTAAATCTTTAATTACCCTCTTAGTTTCTAGTCTCCTGACATGTACCACAGTACCATTCTTGATTCTTTCTAGGCCATCTTTTCAGATTTGTGCATTGCCTAGACAAATAGATTTTAACAGTATATTTCAATGACGTATAAAACTCGCGTACTATATATAATTGTTATTTGATGTGGAAATTTTCTGCAACTTACATGTGGAACCAGCTGTCACATTTGTCGCATTGCACCCAAATGCCTGACCAATTCTTCTGAGGTGAGAACAAGCCACATTTTTTACAAAGTTCAGAAGTGTCCTTTGTTACTTTAGTTCGTACTACAGAGATAGATTCATGATTAATAGATGGGCTTAACTCAACATTCGATCACAGTCTAGTACAAGTAGTAGTGTTTTCATGACATTAACACGGTTTGTATAAACGGCACATATCAGTCTATATGCATGTACGCGTTGGCTGGTAAAGGTCATAATTCATAAAATATACATACCCCGTCTTGGTAAAACACCAATGGTCCCTTCTGAGAATAGTCCCTTCTTGAAACCTATAATATGTTAAATTTGAGATATTATATACCTAGTCATATACATAGGTCATAGGCTGGTTGAATGAACGGACCACCGGCGTCTGAATGTATGAAACCGATGAACTTTGCGAAGAAGATATATATTATCTATATATTTCTCAACCACCTGACGATTCATATACGGATAAAACAGGCTGTAGTGGTTTTTTTGAGGTAAACGAAAATTTATGTCATCCTTGTATTTATCTTGTTTCTTACCAGCATATGATGTTGAGGGAGTTTGATCTGCCACTGTTTCATCAAACTCGTCACTGCTATCATTTGAACTTGACTGCGGAGCATTTTCCTGATGGTTTGGGTTTTTTTTGAGCGAGCGAATTTCTGGGCAGCATCAAAATTCTATCAATTTAGAAAATGAAAAGAACTGAGTCTGCCATCATGTTTCTTTGTTTCGCGTACGAAAGTTATGGGCCATGCCTATAACCTATATCTATATATATTTAATATGGACCTAACAATTAATTTATTGTAAAAAGACTACCGCTTATATTACTATTAGATTAGCATTGCCATGCATAGCTATAGCATCGCCTCTGAAACTACGTAATTACATACACATTTACCTTTTCAAAATATTGTTTTTTATTCGGACTCAAGCCTTGCCAGAGTTGTTTTGTTCCTGGTATGAGACACTGCAATATTTTTGAAATGTTCAGATTAGATCATTTAAATCAAATTAATTAAATTGGTTTTTGAACAATTTAAAACCGGAACCAATTAAAATTTTGAAATATATATATTTACGTATAAAGCAACGGACACATTTGTGCCCATGCCAGTGTCGAAGCCAGCCCGACAATTTGGTCATGCTATGCAAATATTTCCGTGTTCATATACATACTGAACATACACCGTGAAAACAATCAATTTGTAAAGAAATTAATGATTTAAAATTTGCATAGCATGACCAAATTGTCGGGCTGGCTTTGCCACTGGCCCATGCCATGGCCAGTTCTTGTCTTGTCAGCGCATACGGCTCTATTCGCTGATACCCTGCAACAACTTACAATGCTTAAAAAACAGCACTCACATTTGAAATTTCAGTGTGTCTATATATGTGACTTTTCGTGATCCTCAGCTGTATCCATCGGCGTCGCATCACTTATTTTGTCTACGATAAATAAATTAATAACTGTGAATTATTACAATTTATATTTTGATCATATTTTCCTCCAATACAATGGTCAATGAAAATGACATGCAATAGAATTTTAGTATAGTCTAAATAATTGCATGCCAATTAATATACAGTATACCTTTCGCAATATGAATAATATCGTTTTCTTTTTCATGTATCAGATTAATCTCCTCTTGTGTCAATCTGTTTCCATCTGTTTCTGAGATACCAGTATCCTTCAATTCTTCTAACTCCCAATTTAAACCAAGAGAATCTGTATTCAAAAAAAATAATCCACGCTGATCGGTTGCGCTACCTCGGATTATAAAAAGCAATAATCAGCTAAAGCGTTTTTGAAAATTGTGGTTTTTTGGATCTTGTCTAAAAGTACACACGAATGACCACAAGTGATTTCTGTATTTAAAAATCATTGATATAATAAAAATTATTTTAAGGTGGCTCCCTAGAATTTTTGCATTATACTGCACTATAGTATCCAAAAAAGCTCCTGTTTCTTTAGTCAAATTAAACAAAATTAAACCTAAATTTCTCCCTTGCCTTCACTAATTTTTACAAACTTTGCACATTTCATAATATTGGCTTAACAAAAATAGGGAAGGGAAATTTTAAAATTGCCGGAGAAAGACAAATTTTGAGTTTTAACCAAGCACGCTGTTGCCATGGTAACAGACTTTCAGCACAAACGTAGCAAATTGCAATGTTCAGGAGAGCATTGTTAATGTGTTCAATCAGTAAATTTCGTCTTTTAAAATAGTTTTTATTATTATTTTATCGTGGTCAATCATGGTCATTCGTAAGTCACTCGTGGTCACTCGTGCATGTGTACTTTTAGACAAGATCATTGTGTATGAAACGTGTATTTTTCAGTATTTATTTCCGCAAATAATCACCTTATGTGGTTATACATACTAAAACAATGAATTATTCGCCTCAGGTTCAGTAAATATCGTTGAATAAAACCTCGACTTCGTCTCGGATTATACTAATAACTTACTGACTGAGAGTGAGGGAAGTACGGGAAAATATCCAACCGAGGTCTTGCTGTATTGACCGAACGATAGCAAGGTCAATACAGCAAGACCGAGGTTGGATATTTCCCTCGACTTTCGATCATATGATTAAAACAAACAACACATGACCAAAATTAACATAATTAAATATCAAATAATTAGCATGCATTATGCAGTTCTATTAAAGTGTCAAAACACTCCTCCCCAGTGCGGAAAACGTTAACAGCTCAACGTTTGAGCAACGAAATTACTGTCTATATGCCTGTCTTTTCAGTGTTTTTTAACTATGTTGTACTAAAGTTTCATTCTGCTCGAGCTCTTGTCGGGTTGCAATTAGGCATAACTTCGCTATGGGTCTTTCGTAGACTCCCTTCGACGTTCTAATCTTTACTTTACGAACAAGATTATTCACCACCAGGAAATAGTTCCTCCACCAACGCCATTTGCCACTCACCTCTCTTGCGATTCCCATCGATTTCTAATACAAGATCACCAACTCCAACATTATCTTTCTTCTCGTGCCACTTCGATCCAATTAACAAGTTTGGAGCGAAATACCTCATCCAACATTGCCAGAATTGACAAACTCTCTTCTGAACACTTTTACTGAGATGCATCGGGTTGACTTGCTCTTCTTCTTTGGGTTGTGGAACTCCAAAATTTGGTCCTATGATCAGGTCGTTCGGAGTGATGGGAGGTTCTTCCCAAATGTTGCCAGATGCAGGGTATAAGGGTCTGGAGTTCACCAGAAACGTTACTTCAGCTAAGTAGGTTCTCCATTGCTCTTCTGTGTAGGCTATCATTTTACATGAACTTTCCAATGCTCTTCGTACGGACTTTATCAGTGATTCCACGACTCCATTCATGTGACTAGCCTTAGGCACATTCCAACACCATTCAAATGAAGTGCCAAATTCTGAAACGCTGGATTTAATCTTCAGTATGTCCCAGCTCTCCACCATCTCCTGCAGGTATTTTTGGGAACCAACAAAATTCGTCCCACGGTCCGACCAAACTAACTTTGGATGTCTGATACATGAAAATCTTCTAACTCTGATACATGAAAATCTTCTGAATGCCATCAAGAACGTATCTGTAGATCTGTCCGTACAAAGTTCTAAGTGGATTGCTGCTCTACTTGTCATGCAGGTGAATATGCAGCACCAAGCTTCTTTGATGGTTTTTCTTCCTAGTTTGATTTCAAATGGTCCGAAAAGGTCTAAAACAGTGTTGGCAAAAGCAGGATGATTAATGTCTGTCCTGTAGACCGGTAGCTGTCCCATATATTGTTCACAGGCTCTCTTTCGCATCAGTTTGCAAGGAATGCAGGCTTTGACATGATTTCTGGCTACATCACATATGGCCAATTACCCAATACCACCGTCTGATTTCTACCATCAACCGCTTGTATCCACAATGCGCCAGCTTCTGGTGGTGGTGTAGTAGCAACAATTTAACCAATGGATGACTATTCAATAAAATGATTGGGTTTCGAAGTGCCAACTTCGAAACAACTCCCATATGAATACAACTCCCATATATACCTCCAGAATTGACCAGTTACTACCAGTTCACTGATCACTACTTTGTCTAATGCCGGATGATTATTTTACTTCAACTTTTTGAACACAGAACAGTTGATTTAAAGAATAGACTGTAATCTACCAAAAAGTTTTCCACTGATTTTGATTATTCTTTGTGACATGAATCATGACGAATAAGGTTAATATCAACAACTACAAATGCAGTTTTTTTCATAGCAACAATGCAAATTTAATACTTTGAGCAAATTCAATGCTTTGCATAGATACATGTACGCATAGCGAGCCTATTTTTTTAATTCATAATAAATTATAACGCCTGTATAAAGATAATAAATGAATTCATTGATATGTAAAAATAATACTACATGCATGCATGCATGTAATATAAATAATAAAAAGTTATATTATTAACTTAATTAATTAAATATAAGTTCTTACCTTTAATTGTGTGTAGTGTGGAATTTTTTAAAAAAGTTTGGGCTATCTTCCAAACTTTAGTAATTTTTATGAGATTTGTATTTCGTTGACTCAAGTCAGCTAGTGTACATGAATCATCTTTGGCAAGTGGCACGGATATATCTCTTTGGATTGTTTCACGCTTCAAAAACGATTTGAGCTTCTAAATAAGTCAAACGTATTGCGGGTTACTTAGTGAATTATTCAGGACGGTCTAGACTAAGCATAAAATATGAGATTAAATAAATTATACATAATAGTAAATAAGGCTTCCAAAAAAACATCCATGAAATATAACGTGATTGTGCATGATATACTTTTAGATGGAATTTAGAAAAGTTTACAATTTTTTTTATCTTTTCATGAAACCACTTGGCTTAATAATTGCCCTACCAATTTTAAGCCCTTACTATATCGTCGATATGTAGACGATACCTTCCTTCTATTCCGTTCTAGGGACCATATTCCTCTTTTTCTTGCATATCTCAATCGCCAACATCCTAACATTAACTTTACGTGTGAAGTTGAATCCGATTGTCAACTTTCCTTCCTTGACATTACTATCACACGAACTAATGGCCACTTTGAAACCTCTGTTTATCGTAAACCTACGTTCACAGGGCTTTTCACTAATTTCCATAGCTTCACTCCTCTACAATTTAAACATGGTATAATATATTCACTATTACACCGCTTTTTCAATATTTGCTCTAAATATGAGAATTTTCATGCTCAGATTGAGTTTTTTAGAAAAATCCTCAACCAGAACGGTTATCCTACTCGTCTTTTTGATCGTTGTGTTCGACTCTTTCTTGATAAAACCTTTCAACCCAAGGAATTAATCCATTCTGTATCAAGGAAAGTGGTATACTTTTGTCTTCCATATACCGGAACACACTCTCTCCAAATCCGTACCCAAATTCAACGCCTTTGCTCTGTAGCCTTCCCACATATAAACATCAGAATCGTTTTTCGTCCCACTCTACGTTTGTCCAATTTCTTCATGTTTAAGGACAAAATTCCCGATGCTTTGAGGTCTTGTGTAGTTTATTCTTTTAAGTGTCGATGCTGTTCCGCGTCGTATGTGGGCCAAACGGTCCGCCATCTACATACACGAGTCTCTGAACACCTGGGTATTTCTGCCTTAACTGGTAAGACGAGTAGCAGTCCTCAACTTACGAGCATCTTTTCCCATCTGAGCCACTCAGGTCATACTGCTTCTCTTTATGATTTTAAGATCCTATCATCCTGTTCCTCTCCAGATGAACTTCTCGTCCGTGAAAGTCTTCTCATCTCAAAGCTCAAACCTACTTTGAATCAGCAAGGTAGCTCCATTCCTCTCTCACTCCTCTGATTGTTTTCCTTTAACTTCCCCCCCGCCCATCGTCCGCATTCCTATTACCCTGTAATTTGATATTGTAAATAGTAATTTATTCATATTTGTAACTCGTTGTCATACTATATTCATTTACTCTGAAGATGTCTTAGGTTAAAGACGAAACGTTAGTACTTCTTAAATAAATTTTTGTATTATATTATTGTCTATATCGCTCTTTTGCGTACGTTATGCTGGGCATTAATCTTTATACTACGATTA